CTTGAATTGTGGAAAGTGCACTTTTTATCAGCTATTTAACCCAGAGACCATACTAGTGACCTTTATTATATATAGTAATATTATATAAAATAAATCCTACAATTATCTTACTCTTTAAACTGTCCATTCGTCTTATTCTCTCGAAACTTAGATTTTTGAAGGTTTCACTTCTAACACGTGTGATCTGCACACATGATTTTTTTTATTATATTTAATATAGAGTTCCCGTAAAGTCTAACAGCACCTAGCGTCGGCCACTCATATATGGACCGTTTCTTTTGAAAGTTGTGTAAATCTACTTTCTCTTGTTACAAGAAAATTAAAATTTAGTATATCTGTTCATTAATAAATTTAGGCAAATTATATGAAGCCTGCCAATATTTCTACAAATTTATCAATATTTCATTTAATTATATAGATTTGTTTTAGGTGAATTTTACTAAACTAAAGTATATTTATGGGCTGCAAATATATCCTACAATTATCTTACTCTTAAATATGTCTATTCGTCTCATTCTCTCGAAACTTAGTTTTTTAAAGGTTTCACTTCTAACACGTGTGATCTGCACACATGATTTTTTTTTATATACATATTTCACATACGGCACAAAACCATAGAGGTAGGTACTACAAAATACTGCTTTCTGTTCATTCCTAAATTTCTTTTATCGTTACATTTCCATATATTATCTTTTGATTAAGACTTTTATATGTTGATTAATAAGTGGCTATCAGTTCAAAATACTGTTTTTAATGAATAATAATGAATAATTAATTTTTATGATATAAATACTATTATAATTATGCATTTTTTTAAATATTGAATAAATATTCATTTCAGTTGTGCGAGGAATGTTATCAATATTTCATACATTTTAGCTGATTAGATTAAGGTAGAAGTAGAAATATATTTTATTACTGATAGTACATACATTTTTATATGTTTAAATTTATTAATTAGTTTAATTATTTATGAATTATCTATTTTATATTTATCATGGTAATACATTTAAAAATAGATATCTTTTTTGTAATTTTGAATTGTGGGGGTTAAGATAGAGAGAAATATATAGATAAACTGATGATGAACTGAAATATATGTGTGTACTAGTCCATAAAATTAATTGTGATGTGATGTCGAGCGGTATTTACATAAGTTTACAAAAAGTGGCGTGGTTACAAAAATACAGAATACAAAAGAGTTACAAATATAAAACCAACTGACTGTGAGAGATTTGCAGMATAACAGATAACAGACAGATGCAGACAGAYTAACTCAAGACTGAAGACTAAGGACTGACTAAGGACYGATACCCACATAACACKATAAGTTTTGAAATCTTTYAGCGAAAATTTTCGTAAAATATTCCWAAAAAATRTTTCAGAWACCTCGCAGGCATCRTTCCAAAATATTGTGAAAAGGATTTATAAAAGATTTTACCAAAATATATTAAGAACATTTTAAATATATTTTACAGAAAAAGTAATTAAATTGTTTAAAACTATTTGTATGAAACCTAGCAGAAATCTTGCAAAAAGATTTTATAAAATATCTCCAAAAAGTTAGTAAGAATATTATTAAAAATATTTCAATAAATTTTGCAGAAAGGTTGTTAAATATTTCTAGTWATCATKTTTTYAAATAAATCTTTTATAAATYKTATAGCAACCTTTCRAATAATATTTCTYAAAACATTTTWRAAAATWTTCTCTCAATCTTTTGCGATATGTTCTGAAAACCTTTTTATGAAATATTTCAAAAAAATATTATTTTTCGCGAAATCTTGGTGAAAAAATATTTCTACAAATTCTTGCAGAATAATTTTGCAAAGATTTCACACAATATTTCAAAAAAGTTTGTAAAAATATTATAGAAATTATGTCAAAAACTTTTTTCAAACATATTTAGGTTGGTGCATATGAACTGTCGGATTCTTTTTACGTGCAAACGTTTCCCTTCCTGTTTTCGTTATGCTTTGGTTTTTGGCATAACCTCGTTTATAGTCGTACTGTCCATCTCCAGAGTCACATTTTAACAAAGGAGATTTTCTAAAAAGTGATCCCTTTTGTTATTTGTTTTGAATTTTGTACCGATATGAATTCCACCGAAATTCGTGTCATTTTCTTGTATGAGTATAAACTTAGTAATAATGCTGCAAAAACTGCACGCAACATAAACCAGGCGTTGTGAGAGAATACTAATAACGATCGAAAAGTGCAGCGTTGGTTTGAAAAATTTCGGTCTGGTGATTTTTCCCTACAAAACGAACCGCGAGGAAGACCCAAAACGACCGTGAAAAATGATAATCTGAAGGCATTGGTGGAAGCGAATCCAACTATATCCACGAGAGAACTTGCTACTAGGATGGAAGTTAACCATACAACGATATTGCGACATTTTTCTGAAATTGGCAAGGTGTAAATCCGACATTTCATATGCACCAACCTAATAGATATTTATACCTTTAAGTCCGGCGATACATTTAACCCTTTCGCTACGGTGGSCCTCGCCGCGGAGTACCTCGTCTAGAACGGAGCGCCGTACCGAAAGTGGGAACATTTAGCGCGCGCAGTCTTTAGCATTCGGAGCCAAGACTTTTGTCTCAAAAACGACTTTGTGACATTACTTTTAGAAACAAAATGATTTGTGTTCATAATTTTTCCATGGATATATTTTTAATTCAACAATACAATTAATATTTTTATATTATACAACAATATAGGAACTATAATTATAACATAATATTGAACAGTAATTTTTTAATAATAATATTCTGTATGAARTTTTTCAAAACACGGATATACACATAAACCAACATCACAGTTCTCACATTGATATCGTGTTTGACTGCTTTTATTGTTCTTTTTGCATACCACACATTTTCTTAGTGGATTTTTTCTCTTCGTCTTGTTATTCTCATAAAGTGATGGGAAATGTCTTGCAGTAAGACGCGTTGTGTTATTATGACCAGATTTATTAACATTCTTCGTGGCTTTCGATGAATGGTAGCGTCTTAAAATTTGTCGAATTAATTCAAGATGGAATTTAGCCATCGATATAAATTTCCCACTTTTCAACTTATATAGACAATAAGCGTTCCATATGCATATATCCAATAAGTGGAAAAAATACTTTTTATACCACTTTAAATTTTTCCTTTGGGAATGAATTGTACTTCTTATCATATCAGTCTTATCCACGGCTCCCATAGAACGATTATAATCAACGACACACTTTGGTTTTATGATCATTTCCTTTGTGYGATAATGGATTTTTGTATCGACAAATTCTTCGGTGTGAAAGGTCGATAACATATACACCTCCCTTTTGTCATGCCATTTCATGGCTAGCATACATTCTGACGACCAGAACCCGCCTCGCCTTTTTTCAATTTTTTATCCATTCTTGGCATACCTTTGCGTCTTTTTTTTACGGTGCCACAGGCGTTAGTACCATTCATGTGCAAAAAAAATAAACAGTGCTGGACTTGCGTACCAGTTATCAACAAATAGAGTATGCCCTTTTTCTAAATATGGTCTGAGTAGCTGGACAACAATGTTCCCAGATTTTCCAAGATTTGCATCTGTGTTGGTAATATTGGAGAGGGATCCGTCGTAAATTATAAAGTCTKGAATAAATCCAGATTCCTTATCACATAACACAAAGGACCTAATACCAAATCTGTTCCTCTTTGATGGAATATACTGTTTGAAGGACAATCTGCCCTTATATAACAACAAACTTTCATCAATGCATAAATTTTGGAAGGGATACAACGCATTCTTGAAGCTTTCTCTAAGCATATCACAAATTTTCCGAATTTTATATAATCTATCAACATTAGCTTGCGTATCATTAGTATTAAAATGTAATATTTTTAGTAAATATAAAAATCGGTCCCTTGACATTATTTCACCAAAAATTCTGCTTCTCAAAAGCTCATCGTTTGCCCAATACTCAGAATGAGATAGTTTTTTATTCCGCGACATTACCATCTTTATACAGAGGAAACGATACATTTCAGCAAGGGAAGGACTCGTGAAGGACTCGGAGTGTTATTATTATTTATGCATTCCTCATAATCGTTTGTTGTTTTGACGGTAAATTCCACAAAGCTCTCGGAGAAAAATAACTGGAAGTAGTCAAGAATTGATGCGGAGTGGCTAATTGGTACTCTTATTCCKGAATTTCGTTTCGAAAATTGATGAAATTTGGGTCGCGCCGGTTCGGTAGTCCATGCAATATCCAATATATTTTTTTCCGATTTTGTCGAATTTTGTTCCTCGGATTCTGAGGTGCTCACAATATACTCTTTCGAGTTCTTTTGTACGAAGTAATAATATCATCTTCCGATTGCGATTCATTATGCCGCTTTCTTTTATTATTTTGATTTTTATTKTTTYTAATCATTTTCTRGAACGGGTCAAATATTTAAAAATTTATTGCAATTGCAGAAAAATATAAAAGTTAGAAAAATAATCAGTTATACCTTTGTCTTGCTGTACGTCTGATATATTATTTATATAATTTTAATATAATTATATCACAATTCACTATATTTATATAAATTTACTGCAATTTTGTCACTGATACGTCTGGTTTTTATCCTCTGATACATTCGACTTACGACTAACTGAGTATAATTATACATTTGAGGCCCACGGGTCAATGACAAAACAATGTCGAAAAAAATCGGACGTTGCAATAGCGCTTGCAATTGTTTGCGAACAGAAATACACGAAGCGATACCATTTATCTTAACACATTGTACGCCGGTGGCATCTGAGCCATTCAAAGTCTGAGCGCCGGCACCGTGTCAACCGCCTTAAGCGTGGGCGCCGGCATGATTCGCTTGTTGACGACCAATGAATAGGTGAAGAAAATATTTAAAATTTTATACATTATTGTAAAACACTAAATTTGGTTTGCATATTCGTTATATGCAATTTAACGATAACGAAAAATAGAAGCAAAATAAACAAATNTCACTATCCGTAGATCTGACAAAGCGTGGGCAGGCGTTTCCATATGGTTATTGAACAGACTCTCAACAGATTTTTTGGAACGGATCTCAAACATGAAAGAGGAGTAACGCCTAGTGTTGTTAAGCGACACTTGCTTGCAATGCCCGCTGCATTCCTAATAATGGAGAAACTTGAAAACTACTGTAATATTGAAACATCGAACACGTTGATCTTGCGGAGAGCAGAATCTCACGTGATAAAGAAGATATTCAGAAACTTCTATTTTTTAATTTTATTATTCAGAAATTTATTTAGAAATTAATTGCCATGTGGCAATTGAAAAAGGACAACAGGCAATGGCCAAGATGATTGGTAAAAATGCTGAGGATATTTCTCTTTCACGATTATACAGAGTMAAGAATTTATCAAATGCTGGCACAGAAGTTCATCTGAACGATGGTAAACCGTATGTCAATATTGATAGCCATTTACTYTTTCAAAGAATCTCAGTAGGTATCGGCAATAATACTGAAGCTCTGAAGAAAGCAATGAAGTATGAGCTTGCTCCATCTCCATTGAGTCTGTTTGATGAGAAAGGTTGGATGAGAAAAAACCGAAAATGTGATTTATATACGCTATTTAAAGCCACTTTTCCATCTCAATTCATTCAGGACAATTGTACATTTGTTGTTGATGGGGGTTGGTTATTACGACAAGTAGTGTGGTCTCGTGGAAAAACTTACAACGAAATTTTCGGTCTCTACTTGTCCTACATCATYAAATTTTTCCGAGAAGATGCCGTTGTGATATTTGATGGATACCGCGATGACATCATTGGAGTCAAATCTTATGAAAGATTACGTCGTAAAGAACAATGCATGGCAGCTGATGTGGAAATTGCCTTAGACAAGTTAATGATCACTACACAAGCTAAATTTYTGGCAAATATTGCGAACAAATTTAAATTTGTACAATTATTGTCAGACTATTTAATTGCAAATGGTGTACAAACAGTAATAGCTAATGAAGATGCCGATAGCATGATTGTCAACAAGGAAATTGATATCGAGAAACGCGGAAGTTCAACAAATCCACCAGTTGTAGTCGTAGGAAACGATATAGATTTATTTATGTTATTAATTGGCCTTACTCCCGAGGACACTACAATATATTTCTATAAAATCACATCAACTGGTAAAAAAAAAGTACTATATTCGACAGAATATTATAAAAAATTGAAACCATTTATATTGTTTCTCATGCGTTTGCCGGTTGTGATTCAACGAGTGCTATTTACAATAAAGGGAAAAAAACGATTATAGAGTTAMTACAAAATAATGACAAATTACGCGATTCAATTTCAATATTTTACAAAAAGGATAGTAATGTAGACGAATTTTACGTTGTTGCTGAAAGAGTTATGGGCAATTTTTACGCTAAAAACGAGTGGAATGAGTTACCTATAGATGAACTCAGATACCGACTATATAGCGCTTCATTAGCGAAGGCTAAAAAAGAAATATTGGCTTCATTGCTTCCTTCTCGATCAGCATTAACAGAACACGTCAAAAGAGTGTACTATCAGATTCAACAGTGGTTGGGAGTTTCTCTAGATGCTRAACAATGGGGTTGGAAACGAAACAAGCAATTCATGATTCCGATCAAGTCTGAACTGGAACCTGCTCCTGAAGATTTACTAAAATTGGTAAGTTTAATATCGAAATTACTATAAATGGCTRAAAGTGTTAAAATATCATTCTACATATTAGTTTTTAAGGTATCTGCACTCACAATTAACGTTCTAAAATTCTTTCAGATATCATGCAGATGTACCAAAAGTAAGTGTGAAAAAAATCTATGTTTATGCAGAAAAGCCGGTGTTCACTGTACTTACATGTGTGCAAGTTGTGTGGATGAAGGCCCTTGTATTAATAAACCTATCATTACCAAAACAATTGAGGAAATTAATGATGCTAATGTACATTTGAAGTCCGAGCCTGTAGAAGCTAATGACATTCCAGACGATGACGGAGAAGAAGTCGGCTTTAATGACTATTACGAAGAAAAAGATATAGATTTTCACTATTATTAATTTAATAAATATCTCGGAGGAAATTTTATAGTTACTTATTTAATTATTAAAAATAAAAATAAAAATGTAAGAAAAAATTTATTTTTTAAATTTATTTTTATCCCCGTCTATATTTAACTCAGCCTTCTTTCAGTTACAAGCTTCTAACTTTAAACAGTCATTAAAAAAGTCTCAGTGATGAAACTTAATAAAAAGTATCAGGTAAGAGAGTAATCATACTTTTTTTTATTATATCTCGAAAAATAAAGGAGATAAAATATTTTAGTACTAGACCTTTTATGTAGCAAATAAAATTGTCTACAAAACATAATTAATAAAAAAAATCGCATTATTTCGTTTACTTTTTGAGATATTTTCAAAAATGTAAGAAAAGGTGGGAATTGTTTTTTAATTTTTTAAATATATCTCGAAAAGTAAGAAAGATAAAATATTTTAGTACTGGACCATTTTTGTAGCAAATAAATTGTCTACAAAACATAATTTATAAAAAATCGCTTTCCTTTGCTTACTTTTTAAGATATTTTCAAAAATCTATCATGCTGTCACAGATGCGCGCGAGACTCTCGAGCTACAGAGAATATATAAGAAAAAAAAGAATATATATAAGAAAAAGTGTTTTATCGCGTTATATTGTTTTCATTGAGACGAAGCCAACAATATATTGTCTGTCTCTCTTGCACGCATGTAAGCTAAGAGTTTGCGCATGCGTGCCATGGTGATCTGCAACGTCACAATAAGTAAGAGCAAGATAGCTTTATTTTCTGTTTCTTTCGCGTAAGACTAAGGGACTAACTACCTGTCCTTAAATTGGGATATTTCCAACAGGTAAATATCTATAAATATAAATTCAACACTAAAATTAAAAAAAAAAATTAAAAATTTATATGAAAAAGAAATATTTTTTAAATAACTTGTTTTAAGTGAAATATCGAGCAAAAATTGTTTTCCCCCCTTGATTTTTAATAGAAGGGATAAAAAAAATTTTTTTTCCTACGATTGTTCTTTGTAGTTTTTTAAAGATAATCGAAAAAAAAATATTTAAAAAGTCCAATTTTTGTATTTTTTATGGCATTTTCATTTTTTTAGTACTTTAAACCGTCGTAGGGGTGAAAGGGTGCGTTTTATGGGAAAAATGGTTTGAGAGAGATAGGCCTAAAATTTTATGCTCTACAACTTTTATTTAAACTTTTTTTGATATTTTCAACATATAATCCAAAGATCGTATTTCGGGGTAGTTTTTAATTTTTTTCACTCCTTTCCCGGTGGTTGAGAACTTTTTTACTTTGCCCACAGTTTTCTACGCAATTTTCTGATAATTTCCATATTTTTTCAGCCGTATAGCTCAAAAACCCGATTTCAGGGCTATTTTGACTATAATTATTGTACGAATGGGATCACTGGGAACAAAGGTCCACACATATTAGGCATACGACTCACTCTCTATATCGGTGACATCTATGATGTCAGCCGATTTCCATAGCATGCAAGCTCATACATGTTACAATAAACGATGCTTATCTAGATAAGAAACAAGAGAACCAAAGAGATTTGATTTTTGCTCTTGAGTCTTAGTTATATATTCCAACAAATAGCAATAAAAATCTCTATGCAATATCTTTATTGCATACGTGATTGAATTCATAAACTATTCATCAAATCTATTATAAATAATAATTTGTAAATAACAGCATAAACATGTATTACTTGTAAAATTTTTTGCATTTAGTGTTCTTAAAAATGTGACAGAATAACTGAAAGATTTCGCGCGATTTTTATCGAGCATTCAAAACACGCATCAGGGATTGAGTGTATATAAAGAAAAGTCGGAGAAATTGACTGTAATAATAAAATTACTTAACAATGATGTTTCTTTATTAACATTTATAAAATGTAAAATTCTTTGATTAATGTAAGCATAAATAACTGTTATGAAATAATACTTCAATTTTTTCTAGAAAAATTATTAGTGTTCATAAACTTCGAAGAATGGTTTTATTTTTATTTCCAAGAATCAAAGAAAAGTCGACTCGTGACAAACAAAAGAGTTATAGACGACAGGCCCGACCTAAAAAATTGATGGGTCATATGATCCCGCAGGAAACCTGTATTGGACGATAGAAGGGCATAAAATAATAATTTTTAGCACTATGCCATGACTTGTAAGCTGTCCAACTGAGTGCAGGTGAGAATTAAAAAGCACAAAATTACCGGGTACTTTTTTATCAAATGATTTTTTACGGCATTCTTACCACCTATAGATCCATCGAAAGTAATGAGAAAACACGTAGTGCCGTTAAAAAATAGTAAGCTACAAAGTCAGAAAAATTTTTTGATTTTCTGACAAAACCCTGGGTCTATTACATCATTTGATTTTTTACGGCGTTTGTTTCATACAATTTAAATACCTATTCTAATTGATTATTCCGCAACGCCGTGAAAAAATCATGCAACAAGGGAGAAAAATCCAGGGTTAAAATCCACCTTTTTCCACGGGGCTGGGGGATGATCTGATACTACATAAAATTAATTTATTTTAAAAGTATTTTATGCATAGATAACATTTTTCCACATGCCGTAAATTTTTTTTGGTCCAAGGGTCTGTAGGACGAAAAAAACTTCAGAAAAATTCATGTTAAAAAATGTATTGTTGGGTGATATTTAGTACGACATTTTTTTGTACAGCGTTTAGAAAGTTTATTTCTATTTAATGCAATCGTCTATAAAAAATCAATGTCGTACAAATCTTGTAATTTATATTCATAAAAAAGTAATAAAAAGAATAAATATATATTATTTTCTTGTTATGTTGTTTGCTTCGTAAAATGAACTCTCCTTTAAAATTAATAATTATCAAATAATAAATATTAATTATTAAATGAATGTTTTATTTATTAAAATGCTTGTCTATGTTTTACTTTACATTTTTAATATGTACATATAGTGTTCAGGAGGGTAGTACGAACGCGAAGTATACATACAATATAATATATACGCATATTGTATGTGTATGTGTATGTGTATATTACATAAACATATTACAAAACAAAGCAATAAAAATTTTGTTGGTGGTAAAAGTGTATTAAATGCTGGACATGTTATTAAGTGTGGGCAAGTACCAAGTCGTGATTGTAATATTATAAGTATTTTAACTTTTTGTTTACAAACCTCACATATTAAAGGAAATGCACATGAAATAACTGGTAGAATATTAAGAAATGGTCAAATAATTGGAATGAGTTGTTCATACAAGAATTGTTTAAGTGGTATTTGTAAATATGTTGTTGTAGTATTGCAATATCATTAACTGTCACTAATTTAATTGATCTTCTACGTATTCTTTCTTCTCGAGAATCTATTTGATCTACTGGACAAGCACATTCTTTGGATGATCCTAAAGGAAGATTTTGACTAGGAATACTTGTTTTTGTTAAATAAGTTCGAATTGAATCAATAGCTATAACAGCACAAAAAACCAATATAGGCATGAGTAAATTTATTGATTTAACAATTTATAATAACCAGAAAAAATAATTGTTGAAAATACTTACGTGAAGGTAAAAAACCTAATTTTTTCATCACGACAAGCTATGTTTGTACAACCAAATACACAGCAATAGACTTAACTTATTATTTACTTAATTATTTACTTATTATTTAGACTTAACTATTTTTTCTTGCTGGGAATTCCGTAACAAAAAAAAAATTCTTTATAATAACTTTTTAGTTTAATAATACTAGTTATTTTTAATTGTACTTTCAATAATAAATAAGCAAGTCATAAAATAAAAATATATATATTTCCACATAAATATTGTGTAGTTTAAGTTAGCTATCAGCAATTTTATTGTTTACTCATAAAACATATGTGCAATTATTCAATAAAATTGTAGTACTTTTTATTTCTAATTATTATTTTCTATATAAACTAATTATAACAATGTTTGAAGTATATTTCATCAAAAATTATAGAAAAATGTTAATACTGAGTATGATAGTTTTTATTTTTAGTATATAATATTCACACTGTTTTACTTTAAATATACGGCATAATGATTTTTACATATCATTAACTGCTCCTCTTAAAAATATGTTTATGCCGTACAGTATTAGATGACCAGAAGTACCCCTTAAAACAGTAGTCTTATTTTTATCTGCTAGAAAGAATGGTCTGCATTAAAATCAACGGCATGATTTTTTTTTAATTCATTAACCCTTGTACTATTTAAAAACCACAATAACATTTAAGAAATTGCTTTATGTTTTTAATGTACGACAACTTAAACTTTTACAAAAATTGAAAAAATTTTATTTTTTGTTTTCTCCATATTTTTTTTTAGAACAGCTTTTTTTTATCAGCAATAATACAGAACAATTGTACTTAGCAATATCAGGTTAAAAAACAAGTTGCCGTACAGAGTCAAATAGTTTTACAACTGTAAAAATCAAATAGACGATTAAATTAAGTTAATAATTGATATACATCCAAAAAACCACAATTTTTAAACGGCATTATTTTAATTAGTACTTTTGAGGGCTAAAAAATAAACTGAAACTGATGCCATTGATTTTCAGATTATCCCCCAGCCCCGTGGAAAAAGGTGGATTTTAACCCTGGATGTTTCTCCCTTGTTGCATGATTTTTTCACGGCGTTGCGGAATAATCAATTAAAATAGGTATTTAAATTGTATGAAACAAACGCCGTAAAAAATCAAATAATGTAATAGACCCAGGGTTTTTTCAGAAAATCAAAAATTTTTTCCGACTTTGTGGCTTACTATTTTTTAACGGCACTACGTGTTTTCTTATTATTTTCGATGGATCTATAGGTGGTAAGAATGCCGTAAAAAATCATTTGATAAAAAAGCACCCGGTAATTTTGTGCTTTTTAATTCTCACCTGCACTCAGTTGGACAGCTTACAAGTCATAGCATAGTGCTAAAAATTATTATTTTATGCCCTTCTATCGTCCAATACAGGTTTCCTGCGGGATCATATGACCTATCAATTTTTTAGGTCGGGCCTGTAGTCTATTACGCAACGTCAAGTGTAACAAGTGTGTGTGTGTGTCTAGTGTCTTCCATTAGTTCTTTGGTGTCGTGTGTTTCTTCTGATTTGCCGACTTGCTACTCCAAAATTTATGAGGTAAGTGTATAATTAATTAAGTTAATTATTATTTGATTTTATAGGAGTTTTTTTAATCATAAAATTTTGTTTTAATCATAAAAAAACTTCATATTTAAAAAATTTTAAAAACTATAAGTGCAATTAAAAAAAAATGATTTGTGTTAGCTATTATTTAAATAATAAAAAAAAAATATAAAATTGTTAGATATTTGCTAATTTCATTATAATCTTAAATAGTGATTAAGCAAATAAATAATATTTATAATTGGTAAGGCTAAAGTGATTTAAATAATATTAATTGTTTGATTTAATATATTTACTCATAGATGGCGAACATTAGTGAAAAAAATATGTATGCAGTAGTTGAGTTCACAGTCAATGATTCAAATGTTAAGAAAGATATTGATCTGATACCAAGCAAGTGAATCACGGTAGTAAGTGATGGATTTTCATGCCAATATCCACCACCCAATGATTATGCTAAGCTGGAAAAATATGCTCGTGAATTACGTGATGCAAAAATAAATTGGCTAACATACACCATCAAAATTCTGGCTTACGCAGGTAAACATTTTTTTTTTTTATTAATCAGAAACCTTTATTTAATATCAACTATAATAAGTATATTATGAGACTTTTAATTTATGTTAAAATAGATAATTTTAAACATGGACAAAGAGACGCTTAAATCGTGCGTTTACAACTTTGGACGTGAAGAGTACAGACGACGAAAGTAATAATAAAATTGATCAAAATATGAATAATATTGTTCATTATTTAAAAAATTGTATTTTAAGTGAAAATTATAAAAATTATCAATTTAATTTAATCTGACTAGTTTTTTGACAGCTGGAAAATATATTTTAATATTAAAAATTTTCTAATTCTACCGGTAATAAATTACTGATTGGGATATTTATAAAGATTCACTAAGTATGATTGATAATGATTATATGAAATTAATTAAATGAATTAGATATTTTAAATTGAAAAAGTTGCAACTTTTTAAAAAATTCTTATAATTTACGTGTAATACCAGGAAAACTTGATAAATTTGTTTTACAGATGAATCGCAGAATAATACATTAGGCTAATTGATATAAGTGATGAAGTGTTTGACTTGTGTAAGATTGAATTTTAATCAAAATTATATTGACGATCAAGATTYTCGATACTTTAAAAAGATATAGATTTTAAAAGTACTTTTCTTTTTCTAGAATCTTTTAAGGACTACTTGGACAAAAAGCTACGTGATTTAGATGATTCAATGAAACGCCATCTATCTAGTGAAAAAAAGAGCTTACAGTACAATTTGAAAAAAAAACTTCGATGAGTTGAAAAATACGTTGTCTGCTAATAATCTATCTGGAACTCCTCGGCTTAACGTATCTGATGCAACAACAAAATTATATGTCAAATTGCCCTTTACAGAATTAGAAGATTTTAAGAAATTTGATGACGACGTAAAAAGGTCAGAATCAAAAAAAGAAGCATTGGTAAAAGTTACATTTAATCTAATAGCGATTTACATTATATTGATTTCACACAAATTAATATATATATATTTTTTTTTGGTTGGTTCTTCTTCGTGTTTTAATTTATGGACAGACTACTGCTAGAGGATGTATATGTAAAATAGCATCTGCTTTATTGACTAAAAGTATTGAAACACATTATTCAGGCACGGAAAAAATTATAAAAGGAACTGGAAAACTCAACTTCAACAGTACTGAAACTTTTAAATGCATAAGAGATACTGTAAAAATAATCAAAAGTATTCTCAAGATAAGTATGCAGAATTGAATTTATAATTTATTTTTCTTATTTATTTACTTAAAACAAATATCTCTCTCGACATAAGTTTTTTCTATTATTATATTTTAAATTTTTTTAATTTATAATTTAACTATAAGCTAAAAAATTAAATTATTTTTACCTTGTAAAAATGAAGTCTTTATTCACATTATTCACTTTAAAAAGAATTATCTAGAATAATAAAAATTTGAATACAGACAGCCAGTTAAATTTTTATACAATTATTAAATAACTATTCTAATTAGGTAATTAAATTATTACTCAAAAACTTATCAACTATGTAGTTTATAAAAGAAATATAATAATAACATAATTATTATTAATAATAATAATAATAAAATATTATAAAAATATTATAAAAATATTAT